GTGTTACAGGAGTACCTATCACGGTGCCCTAACACAAACACCAACCCCAAGTCTCCCAGCCCTAACCATAAGCCTAAGCCCTCAGTTTTGACTCATTTAGCTGTGGATCACTCAACTCTGACTCACTCAGTTCTCGCAGTGAATCCCACAACTCTGGCTCCCATAGTTCCGGTCCTTTCACTATGAACGCGTCAGCTGTGGTCCAATCAGATCTGATTCGCCCTCTGTGAATCCCTGAGCTCTGACTCCCTTGGCCCTTGATCCCTCAACTATGGATTCCTCAGCTCTGACTCCCCCAACTGTGGCACCCTCAGATCCCGAACTCTGACATCCACAGCCTGGATACCTCTAAATAACTCTGAATCCGTCAACTGCGCGCCCCTAAACTCCATCCGGAACACTCAGCGCTGGCCCTCTGACTTCTAAATCTCTACCTTCCTCAGCTCTAGATGCCTCAGTTTTGGACCCCTTACACAGACTCCCTCAATCTAAATCCTTCACTTTCAAGCCCACACTCTCGTTCATCAACTATGACTTCCTCGTTGTGACATGCTCATTATAGCTCGCTCACGTGGGCTCTCTCATCTCTGGATCCCACACTAGTGGCTTCCTCGCTCTGGTTCCCCTGTGGCAGTCAAGGATGTGTGATCAAGTGTGACCACACACAAGGCCTCCGTTCCGTCCAATGTCAGAAGTCAGGGAGGTATGCGAAGGGCTTTATTCTGTACACATGACAGGTTGTCCTGAGTTGGCTGCTTGCTTGTGTCAGAGCAAAGCGTCAATCGTGGAGTGTTGTTTACGCCGGTGTGCTTGTCCATGCCAGCATCAGGAAATGTCTAAGTGAGTGATGACCATGTGATTGGTTATTTAGGGGGGAGGAGAGATTGCGGTGCATGATCACAGATCACACAGGTCGTCCGCTGTGCGTGAGATGACTAAAGTTACTGTGCGCAGCCCTAACCCACTGCAACCGGAACACGAGTCGTCCCGGCTCAGGCCTGATGGGTGAACGTGCGTCCGCGGTAGACCTGTCGGATAGCACGGTTGACGTGGTTGTTGACTTTCAAAGAAGGCCCCGTAAAAAGGAGGCGCCAGAGCACCTGCTACACCCTCAGCTCTTGCAGCCTCAATCTTGCACCCTCCCTCTGGTCCCTCAGGTTTGGCTCACTCTGCTCTAGCTTCCTCACTCGGCGATCCCAATGCGAATCATCAACCTAGAATATTCAGATTCGGAAGATTGCGCACTTAAGAACATTTTTGACCACCGGACTCTTTTTTCATAGTATTTGGATGTCACAGGAATTTAAACGTCGAATATGCCATTACTGGACTAATGCTGCAGTCGTTATTGTACCTGGAAGGATTTCTCATCAAAAGGACGAAATAAATTTTTGAAGAAGCATCTATTTCTGCAGTTAATTGCCAAAAAATCGTACGAGTTTGAAAGGGGGCCATATCTATTATATATAATATTATTTGCTTGAATATTCTCTGGAGTTCATATACCAGAAACCTCATAGAGAACGCTGATGGACGCACTAAGGGGCCGAACGCCTCGCAGCTGTGTCACACAGTGTCAGAATATCCGAGAAACGTGTCTAGGCTTTTAGCTAGTACCTATGTCGGGAGTACGTTATAATACCCGTGTCATATATACACATATATGGTAGAGGGGCGTTCACCAATTGTTTTTACGGAATTCACTCGTCCCGTACTGCCTTAGGGCTCAGTCTCGAGCCCAACCAGCAGCCGCACGGCGGCGCATGATATAGGCAGAATAGCATTGCGGACAAAGACAAGGGAGACTGGAATGGCCATTTCCGGCTTATTTGCCTTCATCAGCCAGTCATACCCGACCCCAAGTGTGGAACGCCTGGGGCTCGATCCTGCGATCTGTTGGTCAGAAGTCCAACGTCTCTAACCACTGATCCAAGGACTCGTTTTCCTGTCGGTTGCCGACATTCCCGATCGCCGGACCGGACGCCTTCTCTTCATGGACAAGACGTGATGCTCGGTCTGGAGTCTGCTCGAGTCTGTCTAAATTAAGTCTGGGGAGAACGTTTATAATGTTCTGCGACCGCGTCAGCACTTGTGCATTGTCCTGTGCGGATGGATTGATAGACGACAAATCTCCTGACAAACTCAGAACTACTTACACCGCGTTATCGGGAGGCAACCATCTTCTCACGAACGTTCCCACGAGACATCCCACCGGGACGCTGACGCACTCGTCCCGTTGTGCTGATTCTTTGTGAATGAGGAGCGTGCTACCGCGACCGCACGTCAGTAAACGAAGCTACTTCTGCCTTTTAATTTCTCGCCTAAGGTGTCGCCCTTTGCTCTATTGTCTCCAGCCCCGATATATAGCTGGCGTGCTAGCCTAGGCCCCTGCTCTGTCGCAATGGCTATGGGTTTATGTAGGCTGGCGTTTTAGCTTTCCTTCACTGAACCGAATTTTAACAATCAGCTCTCCAGTGGGGCAGTAGCCGGTAGAGCAAAATCGCAAAATCTATGTTTTCCAACATCTGACCCTAATAAATCGTCTGATTTGATGAAATAGTAGAAAAATTAACCGCCTGCTACTGAGAGAATCATCAAGGGGGTGGATAACTCTGCCAATTGCGCCAAAGAACTATCAGGTCTCCGCAACGTAACCTGCTTAAGACAGCGGAGACGATGCCATCCAAGTTATGTAATCCAGTCATGGATGCCCAGAGGATTTTCTGGCAGACGCTACATTTAATATGTCTGTTTCTGTTTGGACCTTTACCGCCTCTCAAATCCCTACTTAAAACGAGACGATTCGCTCTGAAATCGCCGTGTTTCCGAGTGAGGAACTTTACTTACCGGCCAACATTGGTTACTGCGGTCTATGGAAGAAGTAAGATTAAATATCACCACTCCTTATATCCTCGTGTTGGAAAGGTTCGCGTAAGTCCCCCAAGGTCTGGCCAGCTAATACCTGTGTTGTTAGTACGGTAAATTATTGCACAACGCTATACTACTGGCTGCCTGTGGGCGGTTTGTGAATATTAAGCGGTTATTCCGCAGTAGCTGATGGATTTCAGCTCAAATATTCATATCAAATTTCGGACCGTGCCTGAAAAGGCCTGTTTCGAAAGAGTTACTCCAAGTTCGCGCATTAATTTCCTCGGAAATTAAGCAAGGCAAGTAGTCAAACATCCAAAAGTCAAATCTGAAGTGGGGAATGTTACCAGAGCAAAGAAACTCCCTAAGGAGGATCTTCCTCAACAAAAAGAAATTGGAACATAGAACAGAATATACAAATTGCTTAGTAAGACGTTTTGACTGCCTAAGAATTCGATTGGACGCTTCTTATGGCTGTTTTGAAAACAAGGTATCCACGAGTTTCGGTACGATCCTTACAGATGCTGTCTGATGAAATCCTCAAATTGGAACTAGCATTTGCTAGATCTAGCCAGGAAGGCTGACAAAACAGCCTCTTATCCTATACTGTTCTCCTGTCATTTTTCCTGCTTTGTTAAAAAAGGATCTTTTAATTTTGAAACGAATCCTCCGCATGCTCTCTTCTGCTGCTGGTGTTTCTTATATTTTTTTAGTTGACACTATCCTACAACGACACTTCAATGCGGTCAAGCAATTTGCTGGTCGAATTCTAGATGACATTGCCCATCCCCTACATTCCGATCTTATGTCTGCCAAGTCTTCCCGCCCGATGCGCCGCAATTTCCGACTTACATCCTGTCGCACATCGGCTTATCGAGCTTCTGTATTGCCATTACGTACGAAGAGACAGAAATACAGAAGCTAAGACTTGAACTATCCTCATAATAATTGTTTCTTTGTGTTAAACTTTGACTCTTGAATAATCTATTAACTTATTTACTGCCCATATTGAATGGAGCCAACTTTTTGCTGAAAATTTTGAACATATGATTTCAAAATAAAGCGCATTCCTCTCTCTCTCTCTCTCTCTCTCTCTCTTAATTCGTCCGTCAGGAATTACGGCGGTCAATCTCACCGGAGGTGGTCCCTACCACAGTGATGAGGGATGTTTCACTTTTAGTATGAAACCATACGAATCAGAAGGTAAGTTCAAAACCTGAACGAACAGATTTGGCAGGTAACGGGAACTTAACGACCGTCGGTCGTAGCAGGAGTTCACCACACGTCCTACCACGAATGCGCAGGTTCCCCACTAGGTCACTGCGTGACGGGGAAGCGGGGTCACGGTAAGGAGAAGTTCACATTGTGTCCCCATTTTCCTGACGGCGTTTGTTTAGGCGTGCTTTTTGGGTTTTTGACGGAGGTGAGCCTTGATTGAAAACCGGGCCTGCATTGACAGCAGTTTCCCGAGTGATCTGGATCTCCTGGCAAGAGACGCCGGGGGTTTAAAACGACTCCACCAGGGCGGATGGGCAGGTATCCGATGGGACACGAACTCTGGATTTGAACGTGCAGTGCCAGTGTTGGCAAATTAGCGAGGGAGACGACGTTGCACCTCGACGGTCGCGTTTTACTGCGTCCAGTATTCGACGGACTGTAGAAGCCACCGATCTAGCTTTACCGACAGATCTCCACGTCGGACGAGGCTCTGACCATTTCGATAGCACGAATTTGGAGGTTGAGACACACAGGTATTTACCGGGCAATCACATTCGTTGGAGGTCAAGGATACTTTGAACTTCCTCGATATCATGTGGGGGAACGCACCGTCTGGTCAACAGAAATTCAATGTGGAAAAGACTACGGTTGATGCCTAGCAGAGATTGACCGACCCAATGTAAAGGCGCGGAACTACTTAACGCTCAATTACCAGCAGACCTGAATTCAAATTCTAGGTCGGTTAAACCTGGGGTTAGATGTGGCTAAACTCTGACGTCAATTAATCTAAAAAATACCACCCAAGTTTCATTTAGCAAGACCTCATTTCGCAGCCGTACCTTTTAGGGGTCAAGGGTTAGGAGTTGGGGTAAGGGTTAGGGGTTAAGGTTAGGGATTACGGTTTGAAGTTAGGGTTAGGGGTCAGGGTGGGGCTTGTCTACTGCAGGTTCGGCTATGTGGAGAACCGATGATGTCAACTGCGGGACACAGTCGAGACGACGGCGCTGACCGTCCTCGGTCGCGCACGCCGCCAGCACCAAGACTGTTTCGACGACAACAACGCCACCATCAGAAACATTCTCGCCGAGAAGAACCGCCTTCACAAAGCATGCGTCGACCACCCCACTGAGGACAACAAAGCTGCATTCTGTCGTTGTCGCCGCCTGCTTCAACTGCGACTGCGTGAGATGCAGGACACCTGGACGGCTCGCAAGGCTGGGGAGATCCAAGGCTACGCGGACCGCAACGAGTGGAAGAACTTCTTCTCCGCGATAAAAGCTGTTTACGACCCGCCAACCAGAGGCACTGCTCCTCTCCTCAGAGCCGACGACAGTACCCTCCTGACTGGGAAGACACATATACTACAGCGATGGGCCGAGCACTTCAGAGGCGTCCTCAACCGCCGCTCCACAATCTCTGACGCCGCCATCGCCCGTCTGCCGCAAGTGGAGGCAATGTGGACCTCGACCTCCCACCCTCTCTCCAGGAGACCATCAGGGCCGTGCAGCAACTCTCCAGTGGGAAAGCACCCGGATCGGACGCGATCCCTGCTGAGGTCGGCAAGCACAAAGGTCCCCAAATGATGGATCACCTGACTGCGCTCTTCCAGGAAATGCGGCGTCAAGGAGAAGTCCCGCAGGATTTCAAAGACGCCGTCAGCTCTACAACAATCACCGAGGTATCTCCTTGCTGAATATCGTCGGGAAAATCTCTGCTCGCATCCTCCTTTACCACCTGAGAAATCTACCAGAACAGGGTCTTCAGTCGGAAAGCCAGCGCGGTTTCCGCCGTCATCGCGGGGCCACGGATATGATCTTGGCCGCCCGTCAACTTCCAGAGAAGTGTTAGAAGATGCGGAACTACCTATACCATACCTTCGTGGACCTGACAAAAGCCTTCGACACGGCGAATCGTGAAGGATTGTGGAAGATCATGCAGAAATTCGGCTGTCCGGAACGATTCATTCAGATGGTGCATCAGCTGCAAGACGGCGAGTCACGGACAACGGAGCTGCCTCAGAGGCATTCGCAGTTGCCAACGGATTGAAGCAGGGATGCGTGCTGGCGCCGACCTTCTTCAGTCTCATGTTCTCTGCCATGCTGATGGACGCCTACCGCGACGAACGCCCCGGGATCCGCATAGCCTACAGGACGGACGGCCACCTCCTGAATCAACGACGCATGCACTCCCAATCGAGCGTATCCACAACCACCGTTCACGAACTTCTCCTCGCCGACGACTGCGCCCTGAACACCACCTCGGAAAAGGACATGCAACAGAGCATGGACCTGTTCTACGCCGCCCGCGAGAACACTCTCCCGCAGCACGAAAATCGACGACGAAGTCGCCCGCAGGATTTCGAAGGCCAGTCAGGCCTTCGGCAGCCTCCAAAACACACATTGGAATCGTCATGGCCTCAAGCTCAGCACGAAACTGAAGATGTACAAGGCCGTCATCCTCCCAAAGCTGCTGTATGGGGCTTAGACCTGGACGGTTACACGAAGCAGGCACACTGACCCAACCACTTCTACCTCAGCTGTCTGCGCAGCATCCTGAACTTGAACCGAATCCTCGAAACTGATGTACTGGAGCGGATGGGAATCCTCAGCATCTACGTCATGCTAAGACAACTGCAGCTGCGTTGGAGCGGCTATCTCATGCGAATGGGTGACGAGCGGCTACCCAAACGACTCTTCAACGGAGACGTCGCCACGGGTTCACGCAGCCAAGAAGGTCAAATTCGCCGATACAAGGATACTCTGAAGTCTTCCCCAAAGCGTCCGCAAATTAACCCGACCAACTGGGATGCACTCACTCTCGATCAACCGACCTCGAGGTAGACAGTGAATACGGGCGCAGCGATCTACGAAGCCAACCGCTTCGCCGCAGCAAAAGTCAAACGCTAAACACCCACACCACAATGCCAATGCACAACCGCCTACAACGTGTCCAAGATGTCTACCGACATTTCGGATGCCAATTGGACTAGTTGGACACCTTAGGATCAACTGCACCACTCGGGCCGCACCAACCGTCATCCCCCGTCCATCTCGTCCTCGCCTTTTACACTGACAACTAAATCTGAACGTCCCTCCGAACCACCACTTACATCCTCCTCATCCTCCTCCGGTCCAAATTCTGCCGTTGTGGCGCCTGACATGTACGTGACACACCAACAAATACCAAGACCACCATCGCCGCGTTTGGACCAGGACTACACCTGCCCTCACTGCGACCGCACCCTCACCTCTCACATTGGCCTGGTCGGTAACTTGCGATTCCATCGCACAGAGACTGGCGAACCAATGTCTGAAGCACTGACCTACACTCAAGGCACTCGCCGCCAATCTCCGCACTGCCATCGCACTTTCATGCATCGCATGGGTCTATTTGGCCACACGCGCATCCAAAAAAACCTGCAATAGACAACCGCCGGCTGCACCACACCAGATTTCGAGTAATAAGAAGGGCCCAGCCGAACAGATTTAGTGGGAAGCTGACATTTCGAAGATCTTGGTTAGCTCACCCCGGTCAAAGCGTTAGAACAAATCAAACGAAAAAAAAATGAAGTTGTGTGTCTTTCTATTCAGCCTAGTGGTGGTCAATTTTTTCTACTTTCGCTGTTTGGCGAGCATGTCGGCTGCGTGCATTATGAATCACCGCCTCGATGGCGAAGGTTTAGTCACTGATGGCTCTTTTTCCCCACAGTCGAGTGAGTTCGTCGTCGTGCCCTGCTTGTACGGATTTCTACAGTTCCGTGTAGTCCTCTTGTCTCGGAGTTTGTGCCGGACTTTATAAACTAAGGGAAGATAAGGATGCTTGATGACATCTAAATGCCGAGATGAAAGCATTAGCCGTTCTGTCTTTAAGATGCCGCTTGGTAGTCGAAAGTATGATCCGGTTCTCCAATGTGCGTTAAAAGTCGACAGTTTGGATCCAGTCCCGGGTTGACTATTTGTGTTGTTTTAGGCGAGCCTGCAATCTCTGCCCAAACCATCCATCGTAACTGCAGTCACTGTCGCTGCAGCTTATTTTGTAGAAAACTGCTGAGGTTTCGGTGAGTGACAGCGTGTGCTTAGGTTGGATCAAACGGTGACAAATCGTCGCCTGAGGCCAATGAGTTATGGTTATTCTGCTGGGTTGTCGCAGTCAAGAAATCGCCCCGGAGACTCCTCAAGTGTAGTTGATGGTCCTCCAGACCGTAATCTATTCGCTCGACGTCTGATTTCCTCGATTAAATGGTCGGGATATCCATAGGTCCTCAAGAGGTTCCGAAAGTATAGCCGTTTAGCTTCTTCGTCCGCTGGTGTTCTGCAATTTGTTTCGACTTCTGTGGAATAGCTTGCGACAGAGGGCGCAGCTTTTGTCCTGTTTCCGTGGTTTTTCTGAACGCTGTAGTTTATCAGTTGACCGGTTGCAGACCGACGCAATTCCCTCACCTGGCGACCTTACCCCCACCAGAGGAAACGAGGGCACCGTCTTCCCTCTTGTTCGGTGAACAGGGTATTTGACAGTCATGAGGCGAGGAG